TATTACAGAAAACTTGAATATCGAATTCAGATGTTGTTTTGGGAAAATTCATTCCAACTTTTTATACTTTCTCGTTCTCCTTTTTAAATTTGATTATCATTACAATAACAATAGTAATAATAATAATAATAATAATAATAATGATAAAAACAGCAATAATTTAGCGAGAAATGGTAGCGCTATAAGCCAGTTGGGATTACAACATCCAAACTGCTTGTGTCTTTGAGGCCAACAAATCCACAGACATCTCCATCTGTTGACAAAGAAACAAGGAAATGCCTCCTCATTGTCATGGCTGTTCCTGGTGACCATAATATTAATGTCAAAGAAGTTGAGAAGCTTAAGAAATATGCCAGGGTTGAAGTTGCTAGAATGTGGGTCATTTACACCACTATTGTCCAAGTTATCATTAATGCTCTTGGACCTATACCACTGAAAAAGTCCTACATTAAGACAAGTAGAATATGGCCTAGTTTCCCATCGTTCCAGACATTGGCATTGTTTGGCATTGTAAATATTCTGCAAAAGTGTTATCTGTTTGAAGCCATACTAGTTAATGCAAAATCCCCATAAATGAAATGAAGAATCTGTGAATGAAAATAATAACAACATTGATAATTTCCAAGCTGGATTCAGTTTTTTGATGTATTAGAGCAATGATTCAGGATGTGGGGAAGCAAATATGTGGTATTGGCAAATCTGAACCATAAAATACACCACACACACACACACACACACACACATATCATACCTGAAGTGTCTCTTGCCTTCACTTTACAGTGTATCCACTTTATATAACTACTAGCAGCCATACCCAGCCAGTTGATCAGAAAAAGCATTCAATTAGAATGGAGAAAAAACAGCATCATGTTTAAATGTAACAGAGTCTATCTTCTTCAATTACCTTAAAGTACTTTCATTAAAAAACATTTTGAATTAATGCAGTTACTTATATAACAGAAGTAGTCTGTATTTATTCAATCGAAATTAGCTGAGGACATGAAAGAGTAAAACAAGCAACATGAAGACGAACTTCAGACCATGATTATTTTGGAGTTTTTGAAATTCAATTTGTTAGTGTGCTATCAGGGATGTAAAAGAGGATACATTTATAAAGCAATTGTTAAGTTTTACTGAAAATTAGTATAACGATCAACAGAAAGTAAGAAAGAAATCAGTAAAAATTGCCATTTTTCGCTATTTACATGGGTTTTCACTCTATGGATGGACTCAACTATCAAGTTAAATGACTGTTAAACAATCAACTTATTGTCTATATTTCTGAGATGAGGTATTATGTACATTATTTACATTATTCGGACTATTGTCCTCATCTTTGTCGCCATATTTATCACAACATTTCGGCCGTTGTACGCTTCAGCCTTCTTCAGGTGGTTGGAATGTCGAACTGAACCCTTTATTTCACTCACTGGGGTAGACTGTTCAAGTTCCACATGCCATGTTTGATGGATGTCAGTTATCAGTTATCTCCTGTTAATTTCCATCCAACCACCTGAAGAAAGCCGGAGTGTACAACGGCCGAAACATTGTGATAAATATGGTGACAAAGATGAGGAGTATAGTCCAAATAATGTAAATAATGTAATCAACTTATTGTTGGCTACAATTGAGCGAAGTTTGTATTAGATTGTTTGAAAATTGAGGGAATTTTTTTAGTTTAAAATTTGTGCTGAGATATATTTGTGTTGAAATTGACTTTTTGTTTTTTACAGTTTCTTGCTAAATGCAGTGATATAGAAATAAAAATGAGGTATCATTGAGATGCTCATGATGCAAGTAACCTACATTTCAAGTTTGAATGAAATTGGAGGAAAAACATTGAATTTATCAATTTTTGATCGGCTTATCAAGTATTGATTTTTTTTTTAATTATTGATTTTTTACACTAAGAATCTAGCTTTTACATTGTACAATGTATGTGCCTAGTTTGGTCAAGATGTGTTGGACGGATCTCGAGTGAAAAGGTATCACACAGACAGACAAACAGACATCCTCTGTTTTATATATATAGATCATTATGGGAAATACTAAGTCATTTAACATGTAATATTATCACCAAGAAAATTCAATCAAAGTTTGATTATACATTAGCAGGAGGGGGAACTTAGGTTTATGTTTTGGTATGCAAGTGGACGGCAACATCAAAAAGTTTGGGAACGACTTAAGAGCAGCTTAAAACTGTTTATAAAATAAAAGTGATTTAGGAAACATTTATACGTATCGTCAGAATCTTCTAGCAACACATTGGATTGGAGTTTGGAATCCAAGAATGTATAATGTCAGCTATACATAAGAAAAAAAAAGAAAAAAGGAAAGCTGAAATGGACTGAAAGAATTCAAATATGCAATGAAGTAGTTCACCTCATCATTGTGCAATGGTTAGCAAACTGGTCTTGAGGATCATTATCAGTTCAATCCTCACTGGGTGCCCGATACTTGTGCCAAAATTAAGCTTGGCTTAGTAAACAATGACTATAAAAAGAAATCTTCTGGCAATCATGGCTCTCTACAACTTCCTATTTTTTACACAATTTGCATTGTTCGGACTGTTGTCCTCATCTTTGTTGCCATATTTATTTCAACATTTTGGCCATTGTATGCTTCGGTCTTCTTCAGGTGGTTGGAATGTCGAACTGAACCCTTTATTTCGGTCACTGGGGTAGACTGTTTTAGTTCCACGTGTCATGTTTAATGGATGTCAGTTATTTGTTATCTCCTGTTAATTCCCCTCTCCAAGTTCTCCACTGCCTTAAACAGGTATTGAACTCACACTCTTTGGGTCCTGTCACTGGATCTAA